AATCGTTTAGAAAATCTATAAAAATATCGATACCAAAATTGATAAAAATGTTGATAATAAAATCGATAAAAATATCGATAACAAAATTGATAACAAAAATCGCTTAGAAAATTGATAAAAAACTTATAAGCAATCGATAACCAAATCGATTACAAAATCGATAAAAACTCCGATAACAGCATCGATAACGAAATCGATAAAAATATCGATAACAACTTCGATTAAAATATCGATAATAAAATCTACAAGAATATCGATAACAAAACCAATAACAATATCGATAAAAAGTATCGATAATGAAATTGCTCAAAATTTCGATTTCGAACAATTTTATGATCTACCTACAACTTTTGCCCATCAATTTTTATAGCAACACTAACCGTTTACGAAAAAAGTGCAAAAATCCGATTTTTATAGCCATTGGCCTTGGATAAATTTCTTAACAGAATTAAACATTTATGGTTTCCTAACTGTTACTATATTTCTACAAAGTCTGTTTGCATTGGTTAATTTTTGGTCGCAGAAAGTGTTCATTCATATAAAATAAATATAGCATTTAAATTGCCAAAATGAGCATTTTCTGCGACCAAAAATTAACCAATGCAAGAGTTAAAAACATCAAAATTACAACTCGATAGGCATTTGGTCAAGCTTTTTCTCTAATTATGGTGTACATCTGGATGTTTTTATTTTATTTTATTTTTCCTGGCCTCTTGTTTAGCCTGCGAATGGCCGATTACTACTAGATAAACATTTTATGAACCTGATTCGCACCTTTCGTTACTCGACTGCTGCATTTACATCCATACATAAATTTATGGTTCTATAAATATGTTAAAAGTTTTCTGTTATTCACGAAATATCTAGGTATGAATGAGTGATATTAACGCTGCATTGAAAAACATTGAGTCCACTAGTGCAGATTGTTGCATGAATGCAGAATGATGAAGACGTTTCGAACCCAATACAAGACAGACACAAAAGTAATCGGAAATTTTCTCAATGATAAAGTGTGCTGCTTGTTGGTTTGGTAGCAGGTTCTATTTGTACACAAGCACCAAATAGATATGTAAGTAGATATGTAACTACGACGTACAATTCTAGCACATATTGCACTTTCACGTTAGACTTTCTGCAACATAGTAAACGCTTCTGTGCTGGCAGTGAAAAAATTGCAGTTGCAATTGAATTGCAACATTTGTCTCGCTTTATATTTGCCCATTATTCCGTTGATTGGTGTTGTTGTTTATGTCAGTTGCATCGGTTTGTGTTAAGGAAGCAACAACTGTTAGATGTTGTTGTTTTTTTTTCATTTTGTTAGAGGAAGTTGCCTTTATTCTTTGACATTGATGTATTGACTGGTTTTACACAACTTTTATAGATTTGATTTTCATTGCAGATTTATACAGTGACATTTTTATATGCACATACATACATACATTTGTACATTTGTACATTTGTACATGTGACTTAGACAGCCTTAATATACCAGGAAATGACAGCTGCACAGCTGCAACATTTTGTTCGATTTAACATTTTTTGGCCGAGTTGATAACGCATTCAGATAAATGTGTATTTATTATAAATTTATTTGTACTTGAGCATCTTCTGATGCATATATGAATGCACGTAGAAATATGCCCACATACATATTTAACATTGTCAGAAAATTAAAATTTACTACATATTGCTAGTTATAAGACCAACTACTGTTAATTGCACTGTATACAAATGTGATTACACGACGTGTGTAGATCCATATACATATCTCACACCTAGATCTAAAGAGAGCTAACTCAAAAATCAGATCGGGAAATGTAACTGCTTGTAGTGTATATAATCATGAAGAAACAAAAAAGTAAGAGCGCCTGGGCCACACTGGGGAAGTGAAACTTACGTTATCCACATATCTAGTTTGTCTCACAACCAATATTTATATGTACGTATACATTTGCTTAAGGTTATTTTTTATCTTTTTTCTATCTAGATCCCTAAATTTATATTTTTCTGTTTTCCTTTATCTTTATATTTATCTTTATACTCTATTGTTCTTATAAGAGTAAATTTTTATAAATATTACTTCATCTTGGTCTTCATCTTTGCCTTTATCCTTTTCTTCATCTATATATTCACCTAGAAGTTGTGAGGTACGGTGAGGTGATAAGACGCTCCATACATCCACCAATTTTTCACTTTTTTATATGTTTTCCCATTTTTAATAAGGGTATCGATAATTTCGCGTTTTTCGTGAGTGCGGTGCAGACCTCGTTCTACTAAAAATTACAAAAATACGTTTTTGACTATTCCGGCTAAATATATAACAAACCAACTCATTAAACTTACTTTTTATTCCAAAAACTGAAATAGTTTTAATTGAAGTTAAATTTTGCGACTTTATATGTTCTGCGCTACTATTTCACTGCTCACCTTAAATCCCCTTCGCAGCAGGGGATAATTAAAAAAAAATTTAAACCGTAGCTATTCAACGGTTTGAAATTTGCATAGACTTAAATCATCCACTAGAGATGATAATTAAAAAAAAAAAATTCGATTCCAATATCGCGTAGTATGCGACGTCAAAGGCATAATGCATCACGCAAGTGCGCACTACTATTTCAGTGATCGTAACAATACATACGTGATGTGATTTCATGTGATGACATGTGAAGTGATGTGATAGAATGTCATGTCATGCCAAATGATGTCATATTATGTGATATTCTGTTATATGATATCACATAATGTGTGTCGATGCCAAAATTGATAAAATTATCGATAAAAAATTCTTTAAAAAATATCGATAGTAAGATGAATAACAATATTGATAAAAAAATCGATAAAAATTATCGATAACAAAATCGATAAAAATATCGACTATTATATCGATAAGTTCCGAAAATAACGATAGCTAAATCGATAACAACATAGATAAAAAATATCGATAAAAATTCCGATAACAAAATCGATAAAAATTTCGATAAAAATATTGATAACAAAATCGATAAAAATATCGCTTATTAAATCGATAAGTTCCGAAAATATCGATAGTAAAATCGATAAAAGTTTCGTTAACAAAATCAATAAAAATATCCACAAAAAAATTTATAAAAATATCGATTATCGGTATCCTCATCTTTTTCTTTATATTTATCTTTGTTTTTTGCCCTTATATATGTAAGTAAACTGTATAAACTTACCTTGATCTTCATTTTTGCATTCATTTTACGCATCTTTGTTTTGTTTTTTATTTCTACTTTTGCCTTCCTCCTTTTCTTTATCTATTTAAGTACTCATTCTACTTTCATTCTTGTGTTGGTCATTATCTAAATCTTATTCTTTAACATCTTATTAGCACGTTTTTGTTAAATTAATACCATTTGCATACATTTAAGAAGCACTCGATTCCGTCACAACCATTTCAATGTGCAACATGCGTGTGGAATTTTCATCGAATTTGCCAATTTACTCCCAACCAACCATCCGTCGCTAAAGAAGTTTCACTTCAAAAAATATCTGCATTCATTGGGGTAAGTCCTATGCATTGATTTATACAAAAAATAGTGCGATATGTACTTACATATGTACACAACTCGTTTCAAAAATACTTATTGTTTAATATTTGTTAAGTAAAAAAATTTAGATTTTAAATAAATAATCTTCTAAAACAACAAAAAAACTCTAAAATAGCCATTGTTTTAGAATACCATATAAATCCACATTTCAAACTTCGTGCAAAAACTATAAAAAATCTGCAAAGTTTCAGCTAATTTTTCAACTTTTTATTCAGATTTTTTCGAATTTTTTTGAGTTTGAAATGTGGGCTTATATAGTGTTTGTTATATCATCAGCTAGCTAGACTTTTATGGAAAAATAGTAAACATTAAATAAACAAAAGAAAAATAGCAAAAGTCGGTGAAAATGTTGATGACTTAATTAGCTGATCAAAAGTGTACATTAAGGTGGGCCTTAAAAATCAAAGGATTTATTTTTTTACTATTTCCCCATCTATCAATTGTTCTAATTTCGATTCGATTCGATTCATAGATCCATCTAATATTTTAAAATCACTTAATATACTTTCGTCTGCTGAATAAAAATACGGATCTACAATTTTGATATCTCCGTAAATTAAAAAAAAAACTTCTCTGAATACAAAAAAAATTCTCTAGCTTCAAAACTTGGCTGTCTGTTCTCTTTATATTAATTGTTATGAATTTACACCTCTTACGGGCCTCTAATGCACGTCTTCCCGGTATATGAATTTGAAAATATTTCAGAGGGAATATTTTTGAGACAAAAAAGCTATCTAGAGCAGTATTGTTCGGTACTTTAAAAAATAAGGCGCACACAAATTTGCATGCACAATTGTAAATTTCAAATGCTTATAAGGCTGTAATTTACGTGCGCTGCTTAAAAAAAGGAAATAAAATAAATTTCTCAAAATTATATGAAATTAAAAAATATATTTTTCTTTTTTACACAATAATATCTAGAAATTTAATGAAATTGAAAAATATTCTTCTTTTTAAGAGAAGAAAAATTAAAAGAAAGTTAAATAAAGAAAAAAAAAAAATTAAAAAAAAAAAACAGAAAAAAATAAAAGATTTTCTAATGAAAATTTATTTTTAATTAATTAAATGAAATTAAAAAATATATATTTTGAAACAGAAAAAAAATCTCTGCTATCCGAGGACTGGAACCCGGATCAATTTTGTACCTGCATACCTTAAACGAGATTTTGTATCTCAATTGCTCACAAATGCACATAAATATTTATGTATGTATAGGGGTATTCACGATGCGGTGCATACTGTCTAGCATGGTGCACAGGTAGCATAAATAGCATGATTGTTGTTGTTTCATGTGTTCAAACAACAACAAAATTAGCCAATCATGCTATTTATACCATCTATGCACCATGCTAGACAGTATGCACCGGAGCGTGAATACCCCTTATGTATTTGAACACATGCATTTGAGCATGTGTCACTGCGACTTACCGCATCATCATGCAAAGTGATTGCTCCTCTTGCAGTACGCTTTCCAAATACATCATATCCAAGTCAGATACAATAGCAGCATTGATCACCATTATTTCGTCTCCTTTGATAATTCCTGCAACGAAAATGCATACGTACATATAAATGTGAAAACAATTGAAGAATAAGGTAGAGGAAATCTGTATGGAAATGTGACATACTTACATACATGTATGTACATATATGTATGTAAATATATAAATATATATCTATTTTTGCATGATAACATAGAAAAGCCAACTTGTATGAATTTTTAGCCAAGAACAAAGACGGCATTCGACAGTTGGCAGGCAGGCGGAAGAAAGGATATCTAATAAAAAGCACAGAGGTAAGCTATGCACACGGGCTGACACATATGTATGTATGTACCTATGAATAACGCATACATACATATGTATAACGAAACTATAATATGTAGCCACTGTTGTTTTCCCTTGTGGGTTGCTGAGGAATACCTTGTTATACATTGTGTAGATAACACCTCATAAAAGTATGTAAGCATGTACGCAGTTCTGTGAATGGCTTTCCTTTTGTTCTGTTGCATCGCATAACAGTTACAATACAATTGCATACACGCGAAGTTGATAAGAGACCAAGCGACTTAAAAAATGTCTTGTAAATTTCACACGGCAAACGCTTTAAAGCGCTTACTTGTTGTTACGCATTCGAACGAATGCTCAAGGAAGCATGAAAAGATGTAAAATAAATATGTATACAAATCGACTCCTACTACTCGTACTAATATGCAGTGTAATCATCCGCATGGAAGTAAAATCACAAAGGTAAACTAAAGTTTGCAATATTTCCACAACGGTGCCACTTTTGTGTTATTTTTTTTGGTGATTTTGCACTGCCTCAATTTGACTCATATAATATTTGAAGCGGTAAAAAAAGGCTATTGCTGAGAAGTAGCTAAGTATAACCCGGGCGTATCCGGATATTGGGCTACATTTACCCGAGTACCCGGAAAGGCGGTCATCTTTATCCGGGTACTTGAATAGCGGGTTATATTTGTCCGGGTACCCAGGTAGTAGGTTATATTTATATGGATACCCGGATATAGGGTAATATTTATCTGAGTAGCCTCGAAAAGTTATACGGGTACCTGATAGCGGGTTATCTTTATCTGCATACCCGAAAAGATGGTTATCTTCATCCGAGTACCCGAGTAAAGATTTATTTTAGTCCGGGTACCCGGAAATGAAATGTGCGTATACACCGGAAGGAGATTTATTTTTATTTCTCATTAATATTCCTCCTTGACTGGGAATTATTTTTATTTCGCAGCGATAAAGGTTTCGCACTGAGAGCAACAAATAAAGCATTGTTAAAAAAGTTTCTGTTAAGCTCCGACTGCAACAATATTTCGGTGCAATGAACTTTTCAGTAAAATACCGTATTTGTTATTTATAGATCCTTCTTTCTGTTATCACCCAAAAATATGTGTTAGTGTAGTAGGCTTCTCTGGCTCTGGAAAAAAAAATACTCAAAATACATATATCTTCTTTTGATTAGACACTCCTCATATGAAAAATTAAATCGGGTGCATAGTTTTGTTGCACGATGCAATTAATAAAAGAATATACCCATATAAAGCTATGTATGATTCCATTATTAGTTCCTACAAGCGTAGCTTTCAGAAAGCATTGCTTTTGTATTGAGTTTTGCTATTACTGCTTCTAATAAGAGCTTTTGTTTCACAACTACACTGGTTGTCATTTTACTTTATTGTTTTGTACTTGTAAAGCTTATCAATGCAAATGAATTTATACACACACATGAATATTCTGATTTTAATTCTTTGTTTTTTATTTTGTTCGTTGCATATATTTTACACCTGAATAGTTTGTCTTTTGAAAGCGTTTTCCACGAGTACTGCATGACACACAAAAATGCACTTGAGGAATTTGTGAGCAGCTCCACTAGAAAACTGCATTCATTCTGCTTTATATTAATGCATTTTTTTGTACATACTACTTGTAAGAGGCTTAGCTGTTGCTGGCAAATGAATTTACATCTTTTTGATGGAATCTGTGAGTTACTCGTGGATGCTCCGCATGCCCGAAAGCTGTACGTATGTGTGCGGGTATATTTTTTAATGCTTCCACAAGGCACCTTTTCATGCTTAAGTCTCACAAAGAGTGTGCAAATTTGCGGTGTACAATGCGCTTTTGTTGGCAAAAAAACAAAGATGAGTGTTAAATAAAATCTTGAAATTTAATGTTGAAAGTGAAAATTCGTTTCGTCAGCTATAGCAACCGTTCATTGCTTGCCATCGTCATCACCTTTTCCAACTTCAGCTGTTCTGAGTGTGTGTGCTCTTCTTAGTACCTGTTCTACAGCAACTTCAGTTGCTTGAAATTCGAATTTAGGGTGCATTTTTAATTTTTGACGAGCTCGCAGAAAGTTTACGAAGGAATGAATGTGTATAGGAGCAGAATTATGAGGGGAAATGTTTGACATTCCGAGCGCTGTTCATTTATGAGAGCAAGAAACAAAAGCAAAGAAAGCGAAATGAATATGCGGGATGTCAAAAGAGGATGAACTCATACACATGTGAGAGTACGAAGTCCTGTCATTTAATAAAATGCCAAAGTGTATGTGGAACATACGTACAGACATACATATTTACATGTGAATGTATAGAAAAATGTATAATCTTAAAGAAAGTTCATCTATTTTCCTCTAATCTATACAACAACCCGGCAAACATTTTCGATCGCCGGAGGATATCTTTTAATAAATATTTCGATAACTTCAATAAGAACAGCGCGCAACTTTCGACAACGAATAAATTTTGTTTTGTAAGCACTTGTTTAGCTTGTGACGAGACTTCCAAAGGATATACAGACGATTTGTGAATAAAAGACTTTTGCAGCTCTTTCGAAATTTTCCCTTCGGAAGAGTACACATTTTTTGACTGAGCAATTGTAAGAAGGTAAATAATGCGTCCGTTAACCGTCTTTTCGTCACAAGGACTGTTACAATAATAATCGCTTCGTCACTTTGACGATCGAGTACATCGGGTGAAATCGGATAAGATGGCTGTCCTCTCATCACTACAATGATGTAATTTTAACTTTTAAATAAAAAAATCGCTTTCACCGCTGTGCTGAAATCGTTTTATAATTATATGGGTTATCTATATTCCCTTTGTTAAGGAAAGGTAAGTGGAGTTAAGGCTTCAAGCCCAAAAAAGGTCGCAGCTTTCGAGTCATTGCGTAGTTTTTTTTTAAATTAAAAAAATAAGAATGTACCACATCAAAATGATCCGGGCACTTCCATTTGAAAATTTTGGGCATGACTGATGTAGATGAAGAAAAGTATAAAGATAAAGATTAAAATAGATGTAAAGACACCTAAAGATTAGACAAAGAGAAAGGTTAACTTGAAACTTAATACATACCTATAATGACAAATGCGGGGGTGAATATGCAGATGAAGAAAATAATGAAGATAAATATCAGGATAAAAGTAAAGGAAAATATAGAGATAAAAATTAAAAGACAAAGATAAATATAAAGATAAACAGAAAGACAGAAAAAGCGATAAAGAAAAAGTTAGAGATTGGGGAAGTCTTGAGATAAAGAGAGAGACAAATATAAAGATAAACCTGAAGAATGAGATATGTTATGTTACGTTATGTTAAATTATGTTATATTATGCTGTTATGTTATGTTATATTAAATATGTAATGATACGTTATGCTATGTTTTTTATGTTGCTCCGCTGTTGGTGGCCGCTGTGGTGTAGTGGTAAGCAGTGCGCGCTTCCACTGCGCAGCGCCTGGGTTCAAGCCCTGGCCAAAGCAACACCGCAAAAAAATTTAGAAAAAAGGTTTTTTCTTAACAGCGGTCGCCCCTCGGCAGGCAATGGCAAACCTCCGAGTGTATTTCTGCCATGAAAAACAGCTTCTCATAAAAATACAATCGCCGTTCGGAGTCGGCGTAAAAACTGTAGGTCCCTCCTCTTTGTGTAACAACATCAAGGCGCACGCCGCAAATCGGAAGAGAAGATAAAATTTGCTATTGCATTGCGCCCAAAGTAATGGGCGTGGCGTTTTAAAATTTTGTCCAGATACTTCTAAAATGAAAATAACAAGATTAAAAGCTAAACTAAAGTATTTAGTTCACTAAAAAAAAAAATGGCGACCGAAAGGGTAAATAATGTTTTTTTTTTCACATTTCATACTTAAAAATACTGCACTTCTGGCGGGGTAGTGAAGAAATTTTGTACTTTCTTCTCCTAGTTTGGAAGCTTTTCTTGAAATCGATAAAACAAAAAACGCTGAGTGCGAAGTGCTGCCAACGTATTATTCAAATCATAAGTATGCTACCTTCGTATCTATTCGGATTAACTGATAGCGAAAAAAGTCACAAAACTTAGTCTAGCGTGGGTTCAGTGGCACAAAATATGCACAACCTTACTTTATTTTGGCATTGCGCAAAAAATTAATAATATGCTTTCGATTAATCAATTTAACACTTTCCTTTTTCTAGTTGGCATTCTTAGGCACTTTTCGATCCCCAATATGGCACCTTATAGCTATTAACCTTGGCAGCCCTGTATACAGGGAAAAATTAGACGAGTATATTGCTTACAGGGCGTATGAGTTACCTGAGCCGCACTGACGCAATATCTCTGTCTGGTCTGGAGCTACATAGTATTTACATAAGTATGTAAGATTGTCATATGGCAAGTGTAAATCTTCTTCCACGTTTTCGCTGCAGTAGTGCATGCACCTGTCGCCGTCTCAATTGTGGCTATCAACTTGCCACCTTTAAGCCGCAGCTGTAACACTTTTAGCCTCAGCTCAGTCAGCCAACCGGTGCATATAAGAAGCCGGTAACTCTGCTTACTTCTTGCGGCTGACAACGCTGCCACTTAAACGAGTATAATAATAATAAAACTCGTGTTTTTCATTGTAGTTAACTGCTGTTTTTTTTCCCTTAAAAAATGTATGCATCACATATTAAATATCTATGTATGTATATATATGAACACTAGTTAGCTGCCGGTACGTGAGAAAGCTCTGCAATGACACTGATGGCGGCACCTTAGGTGAAAACTAGAGAT